CCTTTGGTTCAGTGCATTTCAACGGCTGTCAGTCTCGCACGAAACCGCAGGGGACAGCGTGCATACCGGCCACCGACTGTATGCCATGAAGAAGGGCGACGACCTGCGGCAGGCAGCACGGATGATCCTGCGGCGCAACCCCAGAGTATCCCTCTCGGTCTTCCGGAGCATGTAGCCGTCATTCTCAGCATGCCCATGGAGTTGTGAAGACAAGACCACTTGTGCACTAACTGTTGTAGAAGCTGTGTGTTCAAACAATGCTTCCGTTCAGGATGCCCTCGTCTTGCAGATCTTTCGCCTCATGGTGCCGCGCCGGCAATCACTGACACTTCATTTCATGACCTGAATCTCCTAATTTGAGAGGAGACAGCATGGGCAGAGCACGGTCTCAGGGAAGTCTTGCCGGCATCCTTATGTCGGTGTGCTGCTTTGCTTTCCATGCTGCAAGCTACTGAAGTGTGTAAAGCTTCCAATCGCACCAAAGGCATCGAGCTGTGTAGCCAAGGGCCCTCACAGCTGGAATCTACTTTGCGCCAGGTCTCGCTCATGCCCTACAACGTATTGGCGCTATCTCCAAAGGACCCGTTGATCGAATCCCCCACCAGGCTGCCACCCATACACTCGAAGACAGCCGGCAGGAGGGGTTCGCAGCTTTCGTGCCCAAAGCCAAGAACATCTCACGCATCCTCGAGGTCGGCAGAAGGTTGAACGGGTTATTCATGGTGTACCAGTGGACACGACCACATGCACGCATGTACGGTATGCAGGCGATGCACATCGTGTACGTAAAGTGTGTGGTGCATGTAATGTAACGTGATGTCACATGATGTGATGTGATGTAGCTAAACGTTTTCATGTATCCAATTATTCGTAATGACTGAATGCATGGTGTGTATTGTTTGTTTAGTTGGTTGGTTGTTTGCTTTATATGCTGTATGCCACTGTATGTACTGTATGTATTTCATGTACTGTGTGTACGGCATGTATGTATGCATGCATGTATGTATATGTAGGTATGTATGTCTGTGTGTATGCATGCATGCATGCATGGATGGATGTATGTATGTATGTATGTATGTATGTATGTATGTATGACTGAGCATGCTTACTACATGGTATATGCAGTACATTATCATGGTGATGTTGCCAGGTAAGGCAGTACTTGTCATGGGCATGGTTGTTTGTCACTATGCAAAGTGCTAAGTGGCGTGTCCTTGCTTGCTGGCAATTCGGGTGGTCGGACTGTGGGATCTTGGTGATGTTGGGTGTCGAGACTGCCCTGTAAAAAGAGGCTCGCTTACAAGGTGGGCTTAGGCTTAGGTGGTCAACGAAAGCTGGTGTACAGGAGTTCGACGGCGACATCACCGAGTTCATCAAGAAGCACTGCCCGGCCGCCTAAACATCAGCCATTGACCGTGTAAGTTGCTCCATCAAGAACTGGATGTGCTTGTGACATTTGGGTTCTCGCAACGAGACCCTGAGCCCCCACCTTGAGTTTTTGCCGAGGTAGTGGTTCCACCTCCTCCGCTTATGACCGGCTGTGCGGCAGCACGGCAGGGCAGCTCGGTGACATAATTCCCTTTCATTGCATCACTTGATCTCTAGAGCCATTTCGGGGGGGCCTGGGGAAGGTACTGCGTGGCCACGTACCTGCTGGGAATCGGAGATCGACATCTCGACAACATCATGATGACGGAGGTTGGGCCCCTGCACTGGCAGTGAGAATCGCAACGTGTGTGCGGTATATTCTTGATACATGCTGCAGCATGGACTTTGCTGCCGAGGTTAGTTGTTGTTGCAAGCAGATTTTACACTGGCTGAAGCGCCGCAATCCACGCCTCTCCGCTCTCCAGCCCGACGGCATGGCTAGACGAATCCAGGCGATGTTCTGCGGGCAGTCCCTGCGTCAGGATGGTCACTTCTTCCACATCGACTTCGGCTTCGTCCTCGGCGAAGACCCCAAGCCCGGTGCTCCCTCTGTCAGGGCCAGGGTCCCGGCAAGTTACGCAAATGCATGGCCCCTAAGAGCTACCGAGCTCCCACGTGCCTGGTGACCTTACACGTAGACACAGGTTCATCTACTTTGCAAGTTCTGGTTATTACTGGTGCTGCTGTCATTACTATCACTGCCGGTTGTTTAGATACGTGCTATGCATGTGTATATATATATATACATACATACACTACAGTCTATATACTTCTGCGACAAGCACTACTACTTCCTTGCTTCTCTGGAGCAAACGTTCGAGAACGTCTTTGCGCGGTACGGTAAGGGCAAGTCTTGGACTTGGCCATCCAAGACAGCTAACCCTATGCTAAAAGCTGTAACAGACAAGAACTACCACGCCATCAGTTCTCTTCAGGGGGCCGACAGCCACAATAAGCAGCCAGAAATCAGGCCACAGCATTCGTGCAGAAGGTTCTTGGATTCTGGAGCCTCTGCAGAGGTTTACGCATGCCCGTGTTGGAAATGATTGATATTCTGAGCCTTGCCGATGTTTCCACAACCAACCAGGGTCGGCACCTCCCAAGATCCAGTTCTTAAGGCCATGTGAGGAGGTTAGGCAGCTCCAAGACCACCTTAAAAATCGGAGAAATCTGCCAGCCAAGGCTCACATCCGAAAGCCCTTTACCCTCCAAGGCTTCGGCCGCAAGCCCCAAGTCCTTGAGCCGTAGCAGCAGGTGCCTCGCGAGGTCCTCGAAGTCCTGAGGCCAAAGCTCAGCAGTGCTGAAGGGTTCATGTCGATCGTGGTGCTTCTGTCGGCTGGAACCTATTCTTTCCCTGCTGCTTGCTTGGAGTATCCTGGAAGAGAGTTGCCGGGTTTTGCGATGACTTTCAAAGCCTGATCGCGAACCCAAATCCCCATCCAGCGACCATGCAAGAGACACTCAGGGTTGGTTTGTGAAAGCCAGGCTCCGTGGAGAGCCGGTATCAGATTCATGTAGGGTTTGTTTAGAGGTTTCATGCCTTCGAGATTTTCCGGAGTTTGGGTTCAGTGCTTGGGCTGGGTCTGCCTATTATCCAATTACAGCCAAATGCACTTGTACTGCAGGCTGTCCGGCAGATACGACCGATTTCGTGAACTTCTCCGGGAGGCCATGAGAGCAGAAAGAAGATTACTTACTGTACCCAGTCAGGACGAATCGTGAGCTGGAGCACGATTGAGCATGCAAAGAGTCGAAGTCGGAGGGAGGGTCCGGTCCATGGATCGGACATTCTGCAAAAGCCCTTCTCGTTTGACTTGTACTGCCCCCAGGCCTTCACGCTCATTCGGCGGACCGCTCGTCTCTGGACGGCGCTTCTTTCATTGGCGTCGAGCGCTGGAGGGTCGGGCCGCAGCAGAGCTCACCCTTCACTGGACAAGCGACTGCTAGTGAGAAACGGCGGTGACTAGATGTAGCCAGACTTTCGTCTCACTTCGAGGTTCTATCTGAAGACATGCATGACAGTCTTGTCCGCGACCCCGAACCAATCAATGGCTCTGCTGTCGGTACTGCACCCGTAGTTGCAGTGCAGGAATGGCGTCACAGTGTTGCGAGACCATGCGGAGCTGGCAATCCATATTGTCTCGGGCTGAGCCAAGTCTGAACGATTGCTTTTGCAGGAGGCAGGACTGGCTTGTAGTGTTTGATGTGGACTGTTCACTGCCAATCCAGTGCCATGCACCTTGGTGCCATAGTTTCAATATGTTTCAAAGCTCATAGCCGAGCGTTGCCTGGAAAGGTCAGAGAGCGGCTGCACCTTGAGCTGGATGACGCATCAGCAGCTGCTGAGATTACAGCTGAGGCTTGTTCCCGATGGAGTGGAAAAGATCAGTCTAGCTGAAGTCTGTATGTCCTTCCTCTAACGGCACAGCTGCTGCCGTCGTGACGTCCAGGTCGAGCACAACGCGGCGGCCATGCTTCCCGTCATCTACGACAAGCTGCACCAGGTGCAACGGTTCGAAGACCGGGGCAGACGGCAGACTCCAACATGTCAAGGTTTCGGGATCGTGACTTTTAGTGCATGCTCGCTATCCTTCGGTTCTTCAATCACACAGCAGTGTTTCCCAGCAACCTTTCAGGCAGGTTTGTTTTGGCACTGAAGAGCAGCGGTGTGGGATCGCGGGCTCCTTAGCAATGATTGCACGCCTACTTCGGCAGAGCCATCATGTCATCTCAAAGCTGTGCACAAGGCGCTTCGAAGACGACGAAATACCTCAGCTCACCTTTGATGAGCTTTGCTGTTAACGAGCAATTTAGAGGCTCATCTGTGTCATTCACAACACCTCGCTCGTTCTCGAGGATTTAATGCAGTGGCGCAGCCGGTTCAGACCTGGAGTAGCAGGGTCGGCGAGATTGATGGACACAGAAAAGATGCCTGTTAATGAGTGTGCCATCTGGCACGTGGTGTGGATCTTTCAAGCGAAGCTTCACATCGATAGCTTTATACTCTATCGATTTGCTCTGCCAGAGGGGTGGATAAAAGAGCGAAGGGAATGCATGCATTGCCGCAGAAACGCTGTGCTAGCTAGCGTACCAGCATGTTGTTGCTTTGCCGTTTGGGGAGGATGGTTCGGCCCGTTGACAAATACACTTCCCAAGCACGAAACAGGAGTGTGGTCTGCGCGAGTGCTTCGGGTCGCAGTCGACCTGCCTAGGAGCATACTGTAATAACGGTAATATACGCGAAGGAAACACGTCAACTCCCATGTTGAGGGAGAGTCGAGGGGATAGTTCAATGCTTGCAGCGTTTGCTGACATCCACACTCATCCTTGTGCGCATTTCCAAGAGTTGCAATTGCCGAAAGCAGCACAAGGTGGCGCGAGATTATGCATACGTTTGACCCACTTGCCATGACCTTGCCTTCAGTTGCATTTCTGTCTTCTTGGATCACAGATATTACAGTATCAATGAAAGAGCACTCTACTCAGCCTGTTGACATCCACTGCACCCCGATCATGGCAGACCAAACCCCGCTACGGCCGAGAAGTCCGCACATCAAGCAAACCTCGCTCAGATGGCGGTGTCCGAGGAAGACGATCTTCCTCCTCCGCTTGAGGCCACCCGCAGGCGAACTCCAGCCGCTAACGCCGAGAAGGAGAAGTTTGATGGAGAGTTGGAGGACCTGCAAGAGAAGAACGAGGTGGCCGAAGCCTTGATGCAAAAGGCGATCGTTGGCAAACCATGCAAAGCCGTAAACCTTCCATGAAAGAATCGAAATCCTGAAGAACTGCGACCTTGACGCCAAGCCAAAATGCTTCAACCCTGAAGGCACTGGCTGCCCGGGAGCAGAAGAAGAAGGACACCGAGGAGGCCATCGGCAACAGTCCCTCCCGTGACTTAGGAGTTTTAAGTGCTTTGCGGCCATCAACTCGAAAATCATCTCTACATGTGAGGCCCGGAAGAAGGTGGACCAGGGCTTTGGAGGGGGGCTCAAGAAGGGCTTCCTGGGCGGCACCAAGGTGCGACTCTCGGATCTTGGAGTATGTTTGGTCGGGGAGGAAGCACTTGCGACCAGAGGGTCACGAAGCGTCAAGATGTTCAGAGGTGGAAGCCTCGAAGATCAGTCAAAGGACGTCCTAGGTTCCATCGTCATTCAGAATACGCTGCCGAACCTTGTTCAATATTCATAGCAGACTCACATGGCAGGCTTTGGGGTGTTCAAGCCTTCTCAAAATGCGCAGAGTTCAATCCAAAAAAGCTCGAATGTCTCGACATCGGATCCCTGGAAAAGCAGGGCTCCTCTGTGAGGAAGCTGGTCGAGTCGAGTGCATAGGACGATGGTCTGTGGGTTCCAAGATTTGTGTAAATTCTGGGTTGGCAACGCTCGTTTGGGATGGTTGGCTTGGGATGTTGATAGTTCAATAGAGTTGGGTCTGGTGCTTTCCGATTTAGGTCCTTAGGTTCTGGGAGAATGGGTCGTGGCCGTTGTCACTTCGAGCTTGTGGGCTAGATTAGATGTTGTTGCACATGTGGAGTGCAGATTATCGGCAGGCTAGGCTTGGGATGATTTACAGCCAGGCTCCAAAGAAGAAAGTTGAAAAGACGGAGGCCATCCAGGCAAGATGTGGCATGGCCTGGTCACGTCGGGCTTGGGATTCGGAGGGTCGCTCATCACACTGAGTGCCACAACTGTAAAACAGAACGAAGAGGGGGACTAGTCCGTCGAATCCCCAACCAACCACTGACACCGCCTGTAGCTGCGGAAGCTTGATCGCAGGAGATCTCCACCAAGAGCGACAACAAGAAGAGCACCAGCGAGGATGCAGGGTACTGTCCCAAAGCTGCAGCAGGTGTACCATGTAGTGCGGCAGCCTGCAGGCCATCTGAAGATCATTGCCACAGCCCTATGATGGCTCTACTAACTACGATGGTCTCTTTTACTGCTGCTGCCGTTGCTGCTCAGTCCTTCTATTGCTAGTGTTGTACTTACTGTTGTTCTCAGTACGACTACTATAGGTATGACGACTGCGATAAGGGCTGCCTGAAGATCCTGGCAGGAAGTGCCCTTCATCACAGGCGCAGGATCTGCCCAGGCAGGGAGCCCTCACCACTTCGCACCACTTCCGCATCAATGATGTGTCATTTTGCACCACAGGAAAACATTCAGGGCATAGCCGTAATGCGCTGCGGTGTCTTTGATAACGGTGCCGCACGTCGCGAGGAAGCCAAACGGATGAGCCTGCAAATGCCGGAGGCGCAGCACGCAGTTTCTGTGGCAAAGTGTCTTGCTTTGCCAATTTTACCTCGTGGGCGTTTGTGCGAGATGTCCCGTATCTACAAGTTCAAGGTGAGGTCGCAAAGACGTAGACGCCTCCTGAGGGGTTTCATGGCTCAGGGTCTGCCACTAAAGCCAGCCAGTTGGCTGCTGATCACTGATCCTGTGCACGGCACAACACGGCACAGGACAATTTGAGCATGGAGTGGGCGGGAGAGCGCTCGAGGTTATTCCATAAAGGGCCTTCTGGTCAGAGCAGTCATTGCTACAGCTCACGGCCATGACGCAAGCCTGGCCACCTTGAAGCAGCTTCAAGGTCTTAAATCGACGGGCAAACACTCATCCCAAGTGCTTCTCTTGCAGCTTTCGTTCGATGCACATGCAGCATTTTGGATTGAAATCCTGCACAGGCCTTGAGAGACGTACATTTCGCAGTATAGGTCGAGGAGTGCTTCTTCGCATGGTGGTAAGATAGGCTGTGCCACCTGCTGAAGTAGCTTGCCCAACGAATTTCTCAGAACCGCGAGCACAAATCATGGGCGCCAGCTGCTGTAGCGGCCGGGAGAAATTGGACGAAGGAGACAGGTTGGAGGTTCGTGCAAAAATGTAGACAGACTTGGTCGGAGCTTTGATCTTGAACCAACATGCAGAAACAGTAAGCAGGCGCACCGTACTGACACAGAGCGGACGTATCCCTCTAGTCCAGGCTGCATTGTACTGATTTCTCGGCAGGCTTGGCCTGTGCTTCAGGGAGGCGAGGGAGAAGAAGAAAGAGGAGGTTCCGGCAGAGGCTCGGCAGGAGCAGGAGGAGGCAGAGGAGGTGAAGTGCCTGCAGTTGGTGGTTCGGCGCACCTTCCTGAACTTCGAGGTGGTGGAGACCGAGCCCACGGCGAAACGACGGTCGCTCAGTGAGCCTCCGCTCCGAAGGGCTGGTGAGAACGGCAAGCCGGAGGGAGGGGCCGCGGTTGCGGATTGTGCCTGCAAGATGTGGCACCCGGCGGACAATCCGTTTGAGCCGCCGCCCTCCGCCTGGGTCTCAAACATCCCCAGCAAGCCACAGCCGGCCGTTCTCCAGCTCCAGAGAGCGGTCCACTTCCTAGACGGACCCGTTCAATGGGAGCTATACACACCAGGCTCATGCTAAAACATCCCAGATCCTACATGATCCTGGATAGCCCCTACTCTCAGGAGGTATGGTAAATTGGAACAAGAACACAAGCAAGTAACGCTGACCGAGCAACTGCAAGTGTATCCGATGTCAGGCCCTGGCAAAGCGGCCGGAGAGGTGCCATGGATTTATTTCGCGTGACGCGCGGGGAACATGATTCCCATTATGGGAGCTGAAGAAACTCTTCTGGACCCCGCCTACAGGCAGCGCTGACGTGTCATTTCGAGGGCGGGCATGCCTAAGACCCTAGCTGCTATATGACCCTGAATGTCCCTCAACCTCAGAGTAAGAATAGAACAGGATAAGGATTTTCAACTCGACTGTGTCCGGTGGCAGGCTTGAGTGGCTGCCTGGAGAGGCATTGGCTCCGGCAAGGTCTCATGGAGATTTTCCATCATTATTATATTTCGCCTGACAAGAGCGGAGATTGACGAGAGCGCGGCGAAGATTAATCCGAATCTGAAAGCTCAAGAAACTCCTCTTGACCGCGCCCTTCTGTCACTTGGGCAAAGAAACAGTTCGTGTTCCCATAGAAGGCGTTGGCCAATACGTCGATCAGGGTGCCACATTGGCCCTAGTATGATGTGGCACATGATGCACAACTGATATGGAGATGTGGGATAAAGGTGCAGCTGGCAGCAATGTCTGTCGCATGGATCTTGGGACACATTCCTCTGGCTGCATTGAGGGAGTCGAGAGCTGACATTGCAACGGCACTGCTATCATTTCAGATCGGCCATGCGACGAAAAAGTTTAGGGCCGTTAGCAAGCGTTGATACGGTGCTGAAACCAGCCCCAGCCTTGGGAGGTGCAGCAGGCTGTGCAGGGCATGTCCCGGTTGAAGGAGGACCAGGCCTTTGGGTAGAGGAGGGATGGCTCAGCTTCGGCGAATCCGAGGTTGGAGAAAGCAATAAATATTGTTGGGTTCAGGGCTTTCTGACGACACCGGTGAGAAGGCTCCGGCCTTTCTCGGAGCTGCTCATATCAGGTAGCCCCTGCTATCACAGTTGGGTGTTAGACGGAATTTCAAGACTAACCTGATCTCAGCTTGATTTGGGCTGGTGATTCTGTTGCACACTTTGCAGTGTGTTGCTCTGGGACTGATCATTCTCTTGCCCTGGACAGTCCTGGATCACTCCGCAGCTCATGGCGGCTATGCAGTCCCGTCCAGACCTTCTGAAGGCACCGTCGGTCGTCTCCCGGTTTCAGGGCTGGTTGGAAACGTGTAAATTTTTGGGTCAGACATGTTGGCAATCGCACACTTCTTGCCGACAGAGCTGGCGATTCACGGACAACCTTACACATGTCTGCGGAGATACTGAGCATTGAACGTCTGGCACAGCTGGCATGAAATCTTTGGAGGCGCTGTCGGATCCAAAGATCCAGCAGGCCGGCCCATGTATCGTTGAACGAACGGCTCAGATACAGGGATTTTGTTATGAAGGGATTGTTGTCTGCTTGGCAAACAGGCTAGTTGGAAGGGTGTGTTCTGTTTCTTCAGTGTCTGTTTGCAGGCTGCCGCGATCGAACAGCTCTTACGTGAAAGCATGGATGCATAATACCAGTGCAGTTCCTGGGTGACCTCTCGATTCCGAAAAATACTGAACATCGTACTTGCTGATTTCAGACCTGAGAAAGTCCATGTCCACAAAGTTTGGGGCTGCGACATGGCACTGTGCTCTGTTTTGTGGCTCGGGCAGTCCAAACATTTTATTCACCATGTGTACTAAAAAGCAGCCATCGGCCTAGTGAACGTGGGACTTGCGCTGCTGTTGAGCCTTGAACAAGCCCCTTTTCAAGGCGGTGGTTTGGGCTCGAAAGTTGTCAACGGGTTCTCGGAAGATTCGGTGGCTGACTATTGTATCCCGAGTGCCTGTGCCTAAGTCCAACCATTTTAACCGTTGCCGGTGTCCCGCGGGCTGAGACGTGAAGAAAATGAAGCATACCAAAGGTTGAAACTTGTGTGCCGAAGGCGATGGCCCTGATGCAGACTGCCCCCGATGAGGCAAAGCGCAGGCAGGTTTCGATCGGGGCTACCCCTGGCTGTGCTTTGAAGCGTGCTCTAGAGGTAGCTGCTTGTTGCTCTCGGCGATGCACTCAAGAACATTTCTCCTGATAACTTGCCTTGGCAGGTATGCGAATGACCCGGAAGTCACAGCGTTCATGCAGGTTTGAGGGTGCTCGTAGCAAGGCTTTTGCGAGGAGTCCACTATCGTGCACAGGACTTCAGCGCGCTCATGGCCACTCATTTCGACGTTCTGAGCAAGGAGGTTTCTCCCGAGTCTGTGAGGGTGTGAGACTCCAACTTGACTTCTCACCCTTGGCTTTCTGATACGCACGTCAGGCTCCGAATCCTGGCAAGCCGCAAGCTGGCTATACAAAAGCGCCAGGAGCCTTCTTTAGGATCATGCGGTGCATCCCCCCGGCGAGGATTCCGACATGCTGTTCCACTCATCGGTCCACTATGGGTAGCATGTCGCTGAATTGGCCCGGTTTCCGATATTTTCCGCCAAGGCCATCCCCACCTGCAAAGGCGAGCCCAGCACAGCAGGCAGTACCCTACTGTCGTGATTGAACATCACCTGCTCGGTTTCAGGTCTCCATGTTTGCATGATGGAAGAAGACATGTGCCTCATCCATGTTCCTGCCTGCGTGTGACTGAACTGTCAGAACTGCTGTAAACGGCTTGAACAGCACACGGGCTCGTGCGTGTAACACCTCAGCTGACACTGTCCCAAGCTTGACCTGACCGATTATGCTTCGATTTTCTCGCTGGGGCATTTAGCTTCCACAGACATTCGTGCTGATGTCCGGAGAGCCGCGGTTTTATTGACGATGAAAACTCTGAGTACTTCTGCAAACGAAATTGAAGAATCAGAGCCTGCCGCCTCCAAATCTGAGCCCCAGTCGTCAGGCTTCGCCCCTGGATGATCCAAAGGTTGCAAAGGCCTTCCAGGACAATTTGGTGTGCAGCATGCAGGGGACACCATGGGTTGCCCGGATCTTTGTCGGCCTTCGGCAGGCATTCGAGAGCCTTTCTTTCACCACTTCGTGAGGGCGCACCAAGAGAGTTTAATGCGAAGTGCATGCTTATATTCCTGCTTGGGCAAAGATTATATAGCAAATGCAAAAATCTTTCAGCCGGTGAGGATCCCGAAGTGCAGCAGTTAATCTCCGAGCTCTACGCCGGAAAGCCGCTGGAGATGCATGCCAGGGCGCCCAGACCTTTGAATGTCGAAAGAAGGTTCAATTGCTGTGACGTTGCCCCGGTCCCCCAAGCGTGGAAGCATCAGCGCAACCGTAGAGCTGATGGGCCTGAGCTTTAGGGGCCTCAAGCTTTAAAGTTGCTCCGGTAGTTGAGGATGTTTAGGCCAACTGCCGTCAGAGTTTGCATAGCTTCAAGCAGCTAGCGATGTCTGTCCAGGAGCTGTGCCAGCACAAGCCGCACCTGTTCCAAAAGGCTGGAATGCGGGTCGTGCGAAGACCTTTCACTGTCGACTTCGGCTGAAGTAGGTGTAAGTCAGTCATTCTGCCGTCGAAGAGAGGTGCTCCGCTTGCTTACTCACACCCCGCCCAACCCTGGTTGCCTTGAGAGCTAGTCTTGTTATCGAGCCCCATTGGCAGTGCTAGAGGCTGCTCGGCTTCGATACCTCACCCAACCATGGACCTGCCAGTTCGGGCCGCCACAGGTGAAGATTCTGCTAGACAACGGACTTCTGGCTTTGCAGCTCATGTCTCAGTTCGACCAGGTCAAGAGGAGCAGGGGGTAAGCACGGCTCAACATCCTGCGCATTCCTCAGGAGATGACTTCGCTGCAAGCCGTGGGCGTTGCGATTCCACAACGGACATCTACACACACATGCGAGTACATCAGAGCGGAAGGTGGTGTTTAACATTGTCCAACAGCCGTACATAATTTACTGACTCGATAACTAGCATGCCTCGAATTCGAAGTTCAAGCCTCCAAGGTTACGGCCTTGTGCACGTAGGTGTGCGCTCTAAACTGCGCCCTCGAGAAGCCAGTCTCACCGTCGAAGCCTCTAGCAGGTGCAAGGGCGCTATCAGAGCAAACGGCGCAAAAAACGGTCACTGGCTTCCTAAACTCTGGACTTGCTTGCGCGCTTTCTCAAGCAGCAATCTGTGGCTTTCGACTGGAACAATGGAGACACAGTCTTTGAAACACAGCTCGACGGCAGTGCCCATTATCCGGGTCTTGCACATAGCTGGACACCTGCCAAAACGACCGCAGCAAGACCAAGAGCCCCAAGCAACTCAGCCTTTTTCTTGTAGACTTCTGGTATGACCTGCTCGGTTCAACCTGCAACTCCCGCCATGTGCGCCCGGGACATGCAGCAGGGGTGATTCTGCGGAATAGAAGTTAATGGCTGGCTACGGGTACAAAGGAAAAGTGCTGTAGCATTCTCATGGTGACAGTGTATCCGAACCTGTTATTGTTGACCAGTGGCTTCTGCAACGCTGACGGTTCTGTTGGATGCTTGCGGGTGATAGCTCCTATAACAACACTCTCCAGCGAAATCTGCTAGCTTTTAAAGACCTCACGCGTAGATGCAAAATTGCTCGTTCAGCATGAAGCGACGTTCTGCAGTGCAACACTCTGAAGTCAAGACCGTACTCAATCGAGTCTCACGCCTCATCTCTTTTACCAAATAAAGGTCAAATGCATTCTCAATTTCGGTGATATGGGGTAGGAGATACGCGTGTGTCGAAGACTCACTTGTGTGAAACACCCCTGGCAGTAGTATGGTTGCAATGAGTTTATAGTTTTGCAAATGGGGTCGATGATTCTACCGGATTGGGGTTGCAGAGAACTTGCTTCCAGGAGTCTTTTGCAGTAGCAGAAGCCTTACGTACGTCCGCATGCATCTTCCGACTTGGCGGTGGATGCTTCATCCCTGCGACTGAATCCCATCCGCCAGGTGAGGTACTCGATCTGGCCGGCAGCCTCCCACTGTGGGCTGCCGGCAGACCCACAAACGCTTGGGGAAGGCCAGGGTCACATGGAGATGCTTCCGGACTCTCTTAAAATGTCCTTAGCTGGTTGGCTCGAGTATCCCGGAGCAAAGAGATTCAAGAGCCTTTGCAGATGTGTTTCACCACAGCTAACTTTGCGAAAAATTGCCAAAGGGCAGTGGCAGCTACGATTCAAAAGCACCTTCGCCCCAAACAGGACAAGACTTGACCCACAGCGTGGCAGGTATATGAAGCACGTTCTCAGGTCCAAGAGTTTGCAAAGAAGTAAGCCAAGGCAGGATGCGTGGCTTTGCCATGCTTTGCCGTTCGCGATTACTGGCGTCTCTGGCCATGTCGAGGACACCGTCAGCCTCCAGCTTCTCACCGAAGTCACTTCGCACCAGCCCAGAAGAGAGGCACGGCTACGGCAAGAAGATCAGCAGCTGAGACGGAGCTGGCATACACTCAATCTTGCAAGGACGAAGGGGGATGCAGCGCCACTCAGGCCGTTTGTGGCTTGTGCGGTCTTAATCTAGGTTCAAGCCTTGCGGCAAGCTATGTCCATTTCCGAACATGGCCTTTGAAGGCTCAAAGCTCTGTACTGCACGCCGCACATGAAGGTTCCTGGCATCTTATTTGTGGACCCCTGAGCATCCAAGTGCCATGCACAATCTGGGGGAAGCATAAACTCAGCCCGTGGCTGAGGCTTGTCCTCTGCTGATAACCTTCAAGCCAGACCCAAGCGATCAGCACGTGAAGGAGCAGGGCTCTTAGCCGGAGCTGCCACTGACGAAGTTCAGTCGGCATGTTGAGGGCTCCCATGTGCGAGCGTGCCGAAACAATCGCATGATGTCGCATGTTGCTTACAAGGTTCGGCGATGAGCTCTACACCGTGACTTTGGAGGCCGGAAGACTCGGAAGACCTGTCGATGATATGAGCCGAAAGCCTCAATCCTAAACATACTGCTGTACCGGCCATAAGAGTGTGAATAGCCTCAAAATCTGGAGCCTTCTGGTGGAACAGGTGCAGGACATTCTACAATGCGGGGGCATCACCATGCCTTTGTCGGACCCCTGCCTTGTTTTGTCAAGTTTGACATCAGAGGTTCAGCAGTCTTTTTTAGTTGAGAAAGCTAGTCATTGGGGTCATGTTGCTGTGGCTTCCATCTTTGTGGCTACTGCAGCCGAGGTTCAGGAGTTCCGGCAGTTCCTACAAGTCTCACAGCTGAGTGGACCACAAAAAGAAACAGCGCAGGATGGCAAGGACTTGTCCTACTTCTTACAGCTACAGATCAGGCGGGAGCGGCTCTTCTGGTCTCAGGGTTCGGAGACGGGATCATGACTGAAGAATCGCCCTGCCTTGCGGGAGGACGCTGAACGGAAAGCATTTCCGGCTTCAGGAGGAGCATCTGTGTGATAGACGGTTGCTGCAGTCTGATGATGCTTGTCTGCCACCTCGAAATCATGTGCGTGCCCATGCTTGTGAGCAGCCTTGCCAAGCATATGTGCGCTGAAAAGTTTAACTCTCCCAAGCTCCCAAGCTAAGCCTTCCAACCGCGGCAGCAGGACGTCGTGGACCCCTGGTTTGTGGTGTTTAGCTTAGTGGACAAACGGGATCTGAACCAGGCCAGGAAGTTGCAGCCTGAGCATTAGCTTGTTAGACTGGAGTGTATCGGGTATCGGGCATCGCCGAGCCAAAGTAAGCCATGTTGGAACGGGAGTGGGCGGGGAGATTCAGGCCGACACGAGCCTGCTTGCAAGTCAGAAGGGCTTGAGGCAGGGGCATGCGACACAATTGCACGACTCCAGCACGCCAGGTCACCTCGTTGCTGCTGGAGGCAAAGAAGGCGAAGGCACCGGAAATTGACAGAGCAGTCGCATCCATCCCATAGAAACTCCTTGTCGTGGGACGGCCATGCATCCGAGGCATTGCCCAGAGCAGTGCTGGAGTCGTGCGGCGGGGATTTTCGAGCATTCGTGCCGGTCGGTCTAGTTGTCCATCGCCAGCATGTCTCGCTGGGTCGACCCGGAGCATCGCCTAGTCGAAGGCTTCTTGACACGGACGCAAGCTGAAAGCCTGAGGACATGAACCCCAAGCGCTGATGACTTCTGTTATGATGGCGAAACCCATGGCGAAAGCCGAGACAGATACGCGGGGTTTTAAAAGTCTCAACCACAGTTGCTGCTGGGATGCCGACTGTGGCTGTGATTGTTGTTGGCCTGGCTTGTGCCTGGTGCCTGCCAAAGTCTCGCTTCAGCTGCGATCACTCACCCTGCAAAACAGCCAAGCATCAAGCTTGCTTCGGCCGTGTCCATATCTTCTGCTAGACTTTCTTCATTTGCTGTTGGAAGAGAAGTTGTTTGTGCACATGAACAGCAGCGAACATCTCAGATTACACCGTCTGTCTGCGTGGTTGCAAATATAGTTCTCGGACAGGAATGCTGTCTCCTCCCAATCTCGCATCATTTTCCAGCTTGCTTGGCGAACTTGCCCAGTTTGTTTGGTGGAGCTTGGGCTGTGACTCTGCTGTGGCTGTGGAAGGGAGTCCACAAAACTTCAGAGAGATTCGCGAGCTCAACACTACTTGCACAAACCGGTCAAGCCGGACCCCTTCAGCATGGCAGGCGAGCAGCAGCGCTTGCCCAAGTTCCACGCAGACTTCCGTGCCTTTTCCGTGCGGGGGCCCCGGTGCCAGCACCCGGAGTCCGAAGGCCACAAATGTAAACAAGCGAGTGCGAATCGAGTGCTTCTGTGGGCACAGGAACACCTTGCCTGTGTCCAGACGTGGGAGATTGGTGTCCCTAAGGTCTGGACTGCATGGCCGAGCTCGAGGCAGGGTTGTTCCGGAAGCCTCAGAATCCATGGCATCTATGGAAACCCACAGCCTACAGCCTGTTTGCCATGAAGTTGAGACACCTGCACTGACACAGTTGCTTCCGAGACGCAAGACTTGAGCTCTCTGTGTCGCACAGCACGCCCTCCACCATCACCAGTTGCAGCAACAGCTGGCAAAGGAGCGATGTTTCCGGAGTTTGGGGTTTAGAGTTTGTTGAACTGGCTGTCAAAGAACCGAAGATACTTAT